AACTAACACCACCCAAAGATCAGCTTCATACTACAACCTGCTCAGGTCAGTTTCAAAAATGGTTAGCTAAGATGGTCCAGCCTGAAGCAGTAGTCCAGCCAGGATTCCAGACAAACCCTGGACTTTCCCATTACACGGAGACTGGACAACAGGTAGCTCTCCCAGGAATTGATCATTATCTCCATTTCCTCAGGGTCTCCTAAAGATACTATGAAGCATGGGGGGGGGGTCCGCATAATGCCAGAGTTCCAACAACACCCACATTCCCAAGAGGTGGGGTGGGTGTTTTCTGGTCATTCAGTGGATTATGGATGTTTAGGTTACAAGTTGTTATTGGTAATGGTCAGGGAGAAAACTAAACAAAGGAGATTAGATTCAGGGATCTCATTCTGAAAAGAAAAGGGGGAGGGACAGGAATTATAGCATAAAAGGGTAGATTATTGAATATACTTTCAAACTAAAAAAGGCAACCACTAATCTTAAATAGTTTACATTAGTATAGATTTCTGTATACTGATAGAAATTTAAGGCAATTTTTGCTAGGACATACTGTATATATGTTTCTACTCTTATTTAAGATAGTGTGCTTATACAGCTCATTTGACAAAGCAATGTAAAGTTATCCTCCTTGAAAGTTATTACAAACTAGGATAATTAAGAAATACAGGTTAGTAGTTAGTCATCTATAACAATCAAATTTATTCCCATGTTAGGTATATTTGCAAGGTCAAACGGAGATATATTTTAGATAGACAAATAGTCTTCAAACACTTCAGGGACTTCCAGAATATAGTGCTTAAAATGTTTTAATAACATAAGACTTTACATGACAGTGAGATATGTCTGTTCCTGGTAGCACCAATTTACTTCATAAAAAATGGCCATGGGCATTGGAGAACCTCCATAAAATGTTTGCTTTCATTGTGACAAAGTTAGTCACTGGGAAAGAAATTGTCCTTGTCAGCCAGGTGTTGGTGGCGCACACCTTTAATCCCAGCACTCAGGAGGCAGAGGCAGGCGGATCCTGTGAGTTCGAAGCCAGCCTGGTCTACAGAGTGAGTTCCAGGACAGCCTCCAAAGCTACAGAGAAACCCTGTCTCTAAACACCCCCCCCCAAAAAAAGAAATTGTCCTTGTCTCAACTACTGACAATATGCTGTCCAAATTGGACAAGCAGGACACAAAAGACAGTGACTGCCAGTCTTTGCTGACACAAAGTAGGAAAACCCTTCAAAATTCCTGCTTCACAGAAACATGTGTCAGATATTCTAGGCTGAAGATGGATGCCCATGTTGCAGAGGAACCTTGGGTGATTGTCCAGGCAGCCTGCTGTGTCTGTCGTTTCTATAGTTTTGGAAGTTCTTTCTCTGTACTTCCGGTTTACTCAGGTAATATTATATTCTTCTCAGGGAATAAAAAGAATTTTCAGAAAAACATGCAAAAGTTTATTACGATTGCCTGAAGGATAGTCATGGAAGCTGTGAGAAGCCTTTTTTCCTGTAGTGGGTCAGGAGAGAAAAAATCTTGTATAAACTTTGGTTCTAGTTAGGTACGGTCATACAGTGCAGTGTGGTTTGCACCATTGAGTAGCTGAAGAAACCCATAATGCACTCTTGACACTGCTTCATGGGCTAGCTTTCATTTTACACTACGACTTGGTGTTAAGATCGTTCTTGATATTTGATTAGTGGCAGCAATAGAAAACCCCACTGCCCATGACTCCTCATTTCTCCAAAGCCTTAATACTTCGGTCTCACTGGGGGTGTTACTCTAGTGATATGGAGCCAAACATAGCCCTATTAGGCATCCACCACTGTGAGCTTAACAAGTTTCAATACCTTGCTGATTAACTTAGTAGGTTTTTTCTGTTGTTTTTTATTTTGAGAATTTTTCATATGCTTAGTGTTTATGAAAACTAAGTGGACACAACAGTGTGTGTGTGATAATAATTAAAGTATAAGATTCATGAATTTGAGAGGAAATTAGGAGGACAGAGGAAGAGTAGAGGGAGACAGATGGACTGGAGCAGATGATTGAGAAAACATCTTTAAAGTTCTGGTAAAATGATGGGTGGATGGAAAAGGGAGGTGGGTCTGGGAAAAGTTGGGACTGAGTGAGTATGATCAAACCAGGTTGTCTGAAACTCTCACAGAAAAGTAATATTTGTTTTAAAGAATGAGCAGTCAGGAATAGGGCAAAGAAATTAAATTCACAATAACTTCAGCTTCAGTAACTTTGACCCATTGGTTTGCATGTTGTTTGTATGTGCGTGTGCACTTGTATGTCTGTGACCAAAAAGCAATAATGGTATATGTAATGTATCAACTATTGAAAGATATGGTAAAGCAGTATCTTCCAAAAGATGAATAAATGCATACTGTTACAAAGACACACACGGGTAAAAGATCCATTTGAAATGCAAGATGGAGTACTACATTTTAAAGTATGTAACAGAATATTAAACACTCATTGATATACTTTATAGATGTTTACTTGTTTTTGAGACAGAGCTTCACTATGTATCACTGTCTGTCTTGGAACTCAGTATGTCAACCAGGCTGGACTCAAAGTCACAGAGATCCACCTTACTCTGCCTCTGCCTCCCAACTTCTGGGATTAAAGTTGTGCTATACCATGCCCTGTCCTCATATCAATTAACCTTTAAGAAGATTACCCCTTGTCAAAGTTTGATGCAGTGCTAAATATCAATAATTTTCTGAAAAATCTCTTAAATATCCCTCCCTCAACTAGCTGCATAACTAAGGCCAGAGTTTCTCTGCATATTTCAATGAAAATTTTCTATAGAGATTACACACAATAATAGGTATTAATCTAGCTAAAAGTTCATAACATAACTATTTACAAATGTTTTTGTTCTCCAAGATAGTCATTTTCATAATGTACATAAATTGCTAAATAATGGTTTTATTGCTACTATACTTAAATATTTGCAAGCTTTATAAGTCCTAATTTAGATTTTTATTTTGACAGGTATAACTACATAGACAATAGTTCTTTAGGTTTCAGTAACTTTTAAGAATATTCTGAGAAAAAATGTCTGATAATATTTAGCATAAACTAAAGATTATGTTTTATTGCCTTACATTTGAAGTATTTGTGTCTCTTGCCTGGCTGATCTGATCACAGTGTATCAGTTTGTTTTTTTTTTTCTATTTTTGGTTTTATGAGACAGGGTTTCTCTGTATTGTTTTGGAGGCTGTCGGTCCAACCTGGCCTCGAACTCACAGAGATCCGTCTGCCTCTGCCTCCGAGTGCTGGGATTAAAGGCGTGTGCCGCCACCGCCCGGCTTAGAATATACATTCTTAATGATAGATTTCCAAGTATCATGTTTTTAATAGGCAATTTTATCACTGAGCAAACAACATAGTGTACTTATACAAACTTAGATGGCATATAGCTATCATTGGCATGCTCCTTTGATTTAATCAAGAAATATGATAAAACATGAAATATATAAAAACTGTTACAGGTGTAACATGGTACATTGTTTTACAGGAAAAAAATGGAGAAAGGAGTACACTCTAAAGATTAACAGTGTAGGACAGCAAACACATAAACCAGCAGCATTACATGTGCCAGTAACATAATAACTTGTCATAACTGTAATGTTGTAATTTTATAGGATTGTCATCACGGTGGGTTTACACCAGCATTACCACAAACATGGACTGTGTTCTGGTACAACTTTAAAATAGCTTCATCGCTAGCCAATAGGATTGGCGTCAACTCCATGGTAACTGGAGACCTGGAGTCGGGGTTTCTCACTGTTCTGTGACTGTCTTCTCAGTGTCTCCAACGGTGTATTTGGAAAGTGTCTTGATTGATGACTGTCCTTAGTATAAAAAAGCTTCACGAACCTGCTTCCACATTGGAACATGGTATTTCGGGAGACCTAAGCCTATGTTTCCAGGGCATGGTCACTCATTTGGCTCCAGAATTAACTACCTCTTTTATTATTTATGTTTGTTTGTTTATAAACAATCTTCATTTTACATACCAATCCCAGTTCTCACCCCCTCTCCTCCTCCTGCGATGCCCTCCTTCCCCCCAACCCATCCTTCCCTCAGAGACGGTAAGGCTTCCCATGAGAGTCAACAAACTCTGGCGCCTTACTTAAACTACCTTTTTCTCTTTGGGGCGAGAGCTGTGCTTATGTAAATCAAGGCTGTGAGTCTGGCTTTTGTGACCAGCACAGGCTCAACTTCAGCAAAGCCCCGCGTTTGGGCCATAGTGCCTCAGAATCAAAACCCCCGTACACACCGAGAGCCCTGCACCTCACATAAAACCCGGGGTCTTTACAAAATTTCCTCTCTCCTCTCTCTTGACCCTTAGCTGGACTTCTGGCGTCCTTTAAGCAGTGGTCACGGGTGCTGCTGCTGCGTGGCAGCTCTTATCTGCTTGTTTGGGATTAAAGGCTCTGCTGTCGGATTAGTGCATAAGCATCTCAACTTCCTAAAACCTCAGATGGGGGTAGACGCCCCTTTCCTTTCTCTTCATCCTCTTTGATTTTCCTGGCTTTATTTATTTATTTGTATTTATTTATTTATTATAACAGTACCCAGAACTCAGCACACAAATGTGTGAGCACTGTGTTTCTTCGCACCAAACTGTCACTAAATACTGCAAGGGCTGTCCCTCAGAAGAGGCTCAGTGAAGGCATCCGGGAACTCCTCTGTGTTAGCACACCGGGAACAAACCTTGGTTCTTAGCCGCTTCTCAAACATCTAAACCACAAAACAACAAGCGGGACGGTGTTGTTGATGCGCGCCTTTAACTCCAGCACTCCGGAGGCAGAGGCAGGGGGATCTCTGTGAGTTCTAGACCAGCCTGGTCTACAGAGCGAGTTCCAGGACAGCCTCGAAAACAATGCAGAGAAACCCTGTCTCGAATGAAAACAAAACAAGTCACAAAACAACAGACTTGATGGAGAACTTCGTTCCCCCCGGAAGTGGAGGCGTACGGAGACACTTCCGTTACAGACGGAGACACTTCCGTTTCCGCGCGGATGCAAGCAGCATGGCGAAGGCCGGGGAGAAGAGCGTCGGGGGCGGGAAGCGCGGCCTGAAGAGGAAAGCGGCCGCGGAGGAGCCTCGGGAGGCCGCGGCCGCGGACGATGGGGCGGCGGAGGGCGGGGCGCAGCCCCGGGCAGCGGCCGCCTTCCCGCCGGGCTTCAGTATCTCGGAGATTAAGAACAAGCAGCGGCGGCACTTGATGTTCACGCGGTGGAAGCAGCAGCAGCGGAAGGTGAGGGGGGGCGCGTGCACGGGGTGGGGTGGGGGACGCAGGGCGCGCGCACGGGGTTGGGGGGGCTGGGGGGGCGCGCCCCGTGCGCGTCCCCGCCCGTCGCTCCGCCGTCGGGTCTCCCGGATGATCCTGGCCGGGCGATCCGGGCCCTGCTGCTCCCTGGGCGCTCTCGGGGCAGGCGGACGGCTCCGCACCTCGGCTTTGCCCCGTCAGCCCCAGCGTTGGTTAATTTTCGCGGAGTAAACTCCAGTCCCGAGCTCTGCTGCTCTGATTCTCCCGGGAACGCGCCCTTCCCGAAGTTAACTGCTGTGAAGTGTCCCTAGTAACTGCATTTGGTGTCCCTAGTGACTGCGTTGGCCCTGCCGCCTGGTGCTCGCCCAGTGCTGGGAGTAAACACAGGCTGAAACAGACTTGTGAGGAGGCTTGCCCAAGGTCATAAAAATGGCCTGCTTGTGTCTCAGTTGCAGTTTAAAAAACAAAGTTCCTAATCGCTGCATACATAGAAACACGATGTTCTCTTAATTTTTATGTGCTTGTCGTGTCTCATTTGCTTGGCTGAATCTTTTTGTAAGTGCTAGGTTGCTACGGAGTTAATACAATGGACGAGTCATCTTTTGGGCTTGCAAATAAGAGGGAGATGAGGGAGGAATGTCTTAGAAGTCTTCTTTGCACTGTGTGGATGTGTAGACACCACAAAATTATACTTTTCTGTAGTGTCAAACATTGTCTGGAAGCCAGGAGATCCTGGTGTATAGCAAATTAATTTCCTATTTATCGTAAACGCTTGTTTTGGTTATACAATAGAAGAATGATTAATCGTGATTTTATTTGAAACTCATCTCCCATTTCTCTTTATTTTTAGTGGTTTCCAGAAGTAATCGTTATAACCACGTTCTTTAGGATGTAAGCACTAGGGGGAAATATTTTTTATATGTTTAATTGCAAAATGTATACTAAAAATTAAAACTACTGAAAGTTTAAATGCTCAGACTTAACATCAGTTTGACAAAGCAAGCTCTTTGGTTATGCTACCCATTTGTGGTTCCGTAATTCAGCTATTAAAGGAAAACCTGTGTCTTGGGGGGGATAGTAGTATGCACCTGTAATCTAAACACTAAGGAAATAGAAGCAAGCCTGGGCTAGCTAGCAGAGCTGTAAAAAGTTTCGTGTGCTCACTTTTAAAAAAATTACAATAATTCTCAGACTGTTCCTAGAACTAACGTGTTGTTTCAGCATGAATTTGTGAAATACCTGCTCAATATTGTCTATTTTTATCCCGTCAGGAAAAGTTGGCAGCTAAGAAAAAACTTAAAAAAGAGAGAGAAGCTCTTGGTGATAAGGTAAGTAAGGTTTTTAGCCATGTAATATATCTTAATATTAAGTAGTGTTTTCTGGTATTATGTTCATTTCTTCTAAAACATTTCAGAGGTTTAAAAATAATGTAACAAATCCCTTTCTACTCTATGTCAAACTTAGCAAATAGTGGTTTGCCTCTTCTCAAAGTCAACCACACAGATGAAATTGTTTAAGTCTCCCCTGAACTACACATTACTTAGCATGTATTTTCCAAACAAATAAGAACAGTATCGCTGTTGATTCTCAGGAGGCAGAGAATGCTCTCCCTGACTTTGGGATTTGGGAACTCCCTACTATAGATGTGAGGATTTAGCTCTTGTGACTTGAAGCTAAAAGAACTACTACATATTCCTGCATTGTTGCACAACTAACTGTTTCATTTTTCAAAGTTTTTGCACATATGCTTAGTTTATAATTTATACTTATAAAACTTTCAAGCATGTGGTTCTCCCCACTTCTATCTCATATAAGTACAAGTAAGAATAAGGATTCCTGGCCGGGCGTTGGTGGCATACGCCTTTAATCCCAGCACTTGGGAGGCAGAGGCAGTCGGATCTCTGTGAGTTCGAGACCAGCCTAGTCTACCGAGCAAGTTCTAGGACAAGTTCCAAAACAATACAGAGAAACCCTGCCTCGAAAAACAAAAAAAAAAGGATAAGGATTCCTGAGGAAGGCAACAGTGTTCAGACTATACACAAAATCACATAAAATCATCAATATTAGGCTATTTTGACCTTCAAAGTTCTAATATATCGTGTAATAGTTGTATGTCCGAAACTCCAGTAATCAGCTAATCGCAGCAAATTGGTATGCTAATCAACCTTTAACATTATCACTGGCCCTGGGTTGGGGGTGTAGGGGGTGTAGCTTAATAGGCTTTTGGCTAGAGTACACAACACCCTCCCTAAAAAACACAACACAAATCAGTTTGGGGACTGAGAAATGACTTCCTAGAATTAGCTTCAAAGAGTATGTAAGGGCCAGCAAGAGAAGGCCCTTGCTGCCAAGCATGGCAAAACGAGTTTAATCCTCAGAACCCTGAGGTGGAAGGAGAGAAGCGCCCCCACAGATTGCACACCTTAAACACATATGCACACCCAACGTCCTAAATCATTCACCACTCCATATTTCCTTCATATCACTGCATAGTGTCCACGTATTTTGGAATAGTTTTAGTATATCGTACGTCCGTTCTCCTTGACAGTTAACCATTTCTTGAGCTAAGCTGCATGGTAATTCCACAGTGTCCGGTCATTGATGTGTAGTTAGCTAGGTTACCTACTGTTGGACGTTTGCTGTACTGATGTTTATCTCCATTACGAATGACTACCTCCTACAGACCTTTTATGTCTTACCATAAATTTCCCCAAACAGTTACTAGCCCACTGGATAGACTTGTCACATTTTCTGAATACATTTAAGGAAGTATAGAATCAGTCCCCTAGATTTGTCCCCTTGTGATTTTTTTTTCCTTTCCATTCTGTTACTTTCCTTTTTTACTGTTAGGTGTCTTTCTTTGAGATGGGTAATTTTTGTGATGTCTGCTACCTTTGCCTGTCTTTAAGTCATTTGGTTCCTATTTACCATGTAAATGTCTCTTCAGATTGCTAAAAGGTAGCATTGTCGCTCCATTCTGTTTCAGGGATTTATGTGACAGGAGTTGCGGTTTGACATAAGGGACAGATTGTTTGGAGGTTTGAGGACTTTTTGTCTCCCGGCTGTAATGTAAATGCTTCTAAATGAAATGCTTTTTCTAACCCCCGTGCTTCCCTTCTTACTCAGGCTCCACCAAAGCCAGTTCCCAAAACCATTGACAATCAGCGAGTCTACGATGAGACCACAGTAGACCCCACCGATGAAGAGGTAATGTCAGAGAGCCCAGTGCTCACCCGTGCTGTGTTGCTGTCTCTCGTGGTGGCTGTGAGAGCCGAGTGCCCCTACCCCCCCACCTCCTTGTCCCTTGTCCTCTCTCTGTTTGGCCCTCTCAGGCATTTGGAATGGTACCACTTCATGCCAGCATGGGGACCTGCATAGGCTACTTAGCTTAGATTGTTCTTAAATACTGAAAACATGTTTCTGTAAATTTCGTGATCTTTTCCATACTGGTTTTGCATGTAAGTCATGTTAGAGCTCCATCTGTCCTGCAGCTCTTCTGTAGGGCACACACATCTCTGGAACTAGTGATCCCCTAACCGTAGCTTACCTAAACTGCTTCTAATAATTTATGTAAATGTTGGGAGCAATCATTTTTATTTAAAACCTCTTGTAAATATTGTCAGTCTTTTAAGAATAGCCCATCCCCTCCCCAGCTTCCTAATGAATAGAGCCTGGGCTCACAGGAAGAGCTGATAGACAGGAATATTCATCACATGATGTCATCTCCAATGACAGGGAGAGGCTTGTAAACACCCCTGGTCCATGAGACCCCCTGACCTAAGACAGGCACGGCCCTCTCATGGATATCCCCACCAATGGCCTTTTTATTTCATACCTGTAAGGGCCCTAATATAAGGGTGACACCGTAAAAAGCCATCTTAGTACTCCCATTAAGATCCTAATAACTGACACCTACTGCCTATTTCTCTGCCAACTCTCAGACCTGCAGTCCAGACCCCTCTCCTTCATCAATAAAAAGTAAGGGAGGAGATGTTGGGGACCAGGTCACTGGATCTACTTCTGACCTCGGGACACATCCCAAAACTCAGACGCCTTTCCACAGATGGCCTGGTGCCAGAGATAATGCATCACTTACCAATGCTAACACCTACATTCCCTGGTGAGATGTCCTGCATATCACACACGCCCCTAACAGCCCCCTGCCTTACTTCCTGGCATCTCAAATCTAACAACCCGGATCCGCCCCATGACCAAAGCCGCATTCCCCTATGTAAGCCTGTACAGAACTTTCATTAAACGGCAGCTTGCTCAGCCGGGTTGTCCTGCTGTCCATCTCCCCCTTGTCTCTTGTCTCATGCATTCCAGCTTCCCTGGGCTGGAACCCGTTGTGCTCTGCAGGCCGGGGCATCTACATGCTGGCTCCTCTGTAGATTTCAGATGATCACTTCTCCAGTGACAAGTTTATTTCTTGCTTTATTTTGCCCTGCTTTTGTGCTGACTGGAACTTCTGACACAGTGTTGAGTAAATAGAGAAGGCAGTGATGGTGCCCTTGCCTTGTTGCTAAGATGAAAGCATGTTGCCGCTCTGTGTGTTTCCCCACGTACCCTGTGTCTGGGTTTTCCAATGTTGAAAGGACCCTGCATTCTCGGGATAAGCCCACCTGTGTGTTTGTGGTGACACTGTCTTACGTGCATCTGCACCGCAAACCTCAGAGCGTTGCTTCTCCATTTCTAGCTACTCCACGCTTACCCTGACCCCGGTTTGACACAGCCCTGTGGTTCCACCTTTGCGATTCTTGTCCTCTGCTTCCAGCTGCTGCCCTCATCCCGGAAGCTGGCACTGCTGTTCTCTTCCACCAGCTGGTCGGATGCGGGTAGCTTTGGTCAGGACTGGTATTCCTGCCCAAATCTGTAACTATTTTGCAAGAATATACACATCTTAGTTTGTGTCCTGAAAGTGGTTTTTGATAGCTACCCAGCTTATACTCGAACTGTGCAGGTGAGTCAGTGTCTTCATGTCCCTGTCTATGTCACCATCTCCTGCGCCTGTCAGCTAACAGTGTCAAGCAACACTTAAAATTCGGGCTCAGTGAACCATGTGACATAAAATAATCTTTCCTCTATCCTCAGGTGGCTTACGATGAAGCTACAGATGAGTTTGCCTCCTACTTCAACAGACAGACGTCTCCTAAGATTCTCATCACGACGTCGGACAGACCCCATGGGGTAAGCACGTTGATTAGTGGAGTCCATGCATTGTTATGTCATATTTAAATAGTTAATTGCCTTTGATAGCAACAGTGAATAAGTTAAACAAAAATAACTGCTGATATGACGTAGGGTTACTGAGCACAATCCTTCAGGATAGTTTTATAACCTTGACAACTGTTAACATCATGCTGGGTAGCTCCTTGTTAGGAAGTGTTATGGTTACGGGATGTTTATCAACATCCGCAGTCTCTGTCCATTATTAAGCCAGCAGCAACCCCACACCCTGCACGAGTCCTCGCCACAAAATGCCTCCAGATAGTGCCGTGTCTCTGTCTCTATGAAGTAGCACTATTTCTTGCTGAAAATGTATGCTTTAGGGTAATTGGCCTTTGATACATGAGACATTGTCCTGTTTTCATTCACTTTCGGTAGTATTATCTTAGAGTCATCATTATTATTCCTGTCCTTATAAGTATATCCTTATTCCTTTACTTTCAGTAATTCTTTTCTTACAGAGAACAGTCCGACTCTGTGAGCAGCTCTCAACAGTTATACCAGATTCACATGTTTATTACAGAAGAGGATTGGCTCTGAAGAAAATTATCCCACAGTGCATTGCAAGAGATTTCACAGACCTGATTGTTATTAATGAAGATCGTAAAACACCAAGTATCCTTTGAGTTTGTTTTTAAGGAAACTTCCTTGTCCCTTTCCTCACCTGTTTTTAGACATTTTAGACTAGGAAAAAAGAAATCCTATCAGTTTTAGAATGGACATTTTTCCATAACGTTGTGGCTCTCTCCAAGATGCTGTAAGACTTTTGTATTCATGAAAACATTTATCAGGCTAGTGTCATAGCTCAAGCACTGCTGAAACCTTAGTAAAGACTATAACAACAGTCCGCATGCCATAGTGAGTTCGGGCAAACAGTCGTCAGCTGATGGCACTGTTCCAGAGACGTGTGGGGAGGAGGGCTTCACGGGGACACTTGAGCCAGGTCTAATGCACAGAGGGACGAGTAGTCAGTGGGAGAGGAGGCGGATGAAAGCCTGGCCCAGGGACACGGTATATGTTGGTGTGGCTTCCTCTTAGGTTGTCAGGAAGCATGTCATTGTTCTGAGGTAGGAGTGAAGCCGTGCTGTGTGGGTGCTAGCAACGCTAAAACTTCTGTGAGTCTCACATTGACACTAATGTCGTCTCACCCCGAGGCATGTCTGTCGATGAAAGAATATAAAATACATGCAGGCTTTTGTTTGTAGTTGCTACTATTTCTTGAATAGTGCCTATCATTTCATTATCTAGGAGATGAGCGATTGGGTGAGTCAGATTAGTAAAGGATGTATAAACATAGCAATGGGTCTTTCTGCTCCGCCACAGGACAACACATCCTTTTCTGTATCGGTGAACATTCACTGTTCTAATGCACAGTTGTTTTAAATCCATTTCTCACAGCCTTCATTCTTTTAATATAAAACTTGAGTGTATTATTTTGTTTCCCTATATTAGTTTTCCAGAAACTAAAATAGGCAAAAACTAGCTTTTTGATGTGTGGTGTTTGTTGACTAGCTTATGATTTGGATTGACTAGATTATTACAATTTTTTTATTCTAGTAAAGAAGTATTTTTAAAGTGATTGCTGCCTTTATAACTGCTTACGTAAATATAACAAGGTCGGTTTTAACAGTTAAGTTGTCATCATTTAAAGCTGCTAATAATGAGCCGTCATCATTTTATGTTTTCTCTTTGCTGTAGTATTTCATATAGGTACAAAAATGACACCATTTCCAGCTTGTAGAAGGTCTGCCTGCACTGTCTTTGCAATACAAGTCTTTTTATCTGCAGCACTGTTATTTTGTTTTACATTTAATCACCTTGTAGGACAGCTTGCGGTCCCTTTTCCTCATTACCGAAACAAGCAGTGGCTGCTTAATGTTGTTTGTGTTGTTTAAGAATACAGCTTAACGCATGTACCAAACAAGCTGAACCAGTTTATTCGGGAACCTATGAATTTGGAATCTGTACTTTGTTTTTGACACAAGCTACAATTTAATGTGGTTGTAGGTAGAATTCAAGCCTTTACAGACGTTGGAGGAAGTTATTTTAATCTATTAGTCTCCTTAATTTCCATGGTTTGTGGATGTCCAAGAAGTAAGAAAGTACTTGGCTATACTTCATGACACTGAACCTGGAGTGAGTCTTTGAACTCAATATTTGCCTTTAGTCTGTTTAAAAACAAACAAAACCAGTTATAGCAGCGGGGTGAACTAAGTTGGGTAAAGGGCATTGTCCTGACTCATAGCTGCCATTTTAAGCAGTGGGCACTATGGTAAGTTAATTCTAACTGCATGAAAAGGTGGGATTTGCAACAGTCCCTAATGGAGAAGCAAAATATTGAGGCAAAAATAGGTTCTTTATGTGTAGTATATAATAAGATTGTATGAGGACCTGCAAGTCAGGAAACATTTGGGAAAATTGGATATAAGAAATGTAGTTTGTGCTGGGCGGTGGTGGCGCACGCCTTTAATCCCAGCACTCGGGAGGCAGAGGCAGGCAGATCTCTGTGAGTTCGAGGCCGGGCTGGACCCACAGCCTCCAAAACAATACAGAGAAACCCTGTCTCGTAAAACCAAAAAAAAAATGTAGTTTGTACCAACATTACTGTGTCAAACTGTTGTCTTTATTCTGAACATGAGTCAGTGATGACAGAGAGTAGGGAATTAGCTGCAGCTATTCAAACTGTGATATGTGGTTTTCACTTGTCATTAGAAAGTATGGGGCAGATACAATGACCCAGCTAAATTCTCTATGGGTTAGAGAACCAAGGGTCCAATCCAGACTTGATTGCCATCTATATTAGAAAATGTACGTGGAGTACAGAGCACCAACTGTAACCTTATTTTAGTGATGCAGGTGGAAAACATCAACTAAGCAAGGTCAGGAGGAAGTGGTTTTAGAAGTGATATTAAATGAGAGCGGTAGTACAGGATGGATGAGTGACAGGTTGAAGAGAACGGATGATGGCACTGTTGTTTGTAAAGCTCATATTGTATGCACATAGACGTGAAATGGGGGTAGTCTTAATTTCCTACTACTGTGACAAGCCACCATGACCAAAGCAACTTGTAAAAGAAGGCATTCAATTAGGGGACCGCTTACAGTTTCAGAGAGTGGGTTCCTGACTGTCACGGCAGGGACCATGGCAGCAGGCAGGAAGGCTCATAGCACTGGGAGCTTACATCGTATCTACAAGTTGGAGAGGGAGAGAGAAAGGAGAGACAGAGATACTGGGCCTGGTGAAGGTTTTTGAAATCTCAGAGCTCGTCCCAGTGACAAATCTTCTCTAAGGTCACACCTCTACTCTTCCTGAACAGTCCACCAACTGTGAAACAAATGAGTCAGCTTATGGGGACCATTCTCATCTGAACACCACATTCCAAGGTTGCGTGAAGGCAATAGGGAAGTAACTAAAACCACATATTTAGGGTGATTTTTTTTAAAAGATTTAATAACTATGTATGCATGTATGTCTGCAGACCACAGGGGCCACCAGATCTCGTTACAGGTGGTTATGAGCGGCCATATGGTTACGGGGACTGAACTTAGGATGAGCAGCCAGAGCTCTCTAACTGCTGAGCCGTCTCTCTACCCTGACTGATGCTCTTTTAAAAGTGGGTGTAGTGTGGCTTCTCTAAGCTACCTTTAGTCCAGCAGTGGGTCAGGACCCCTTATAGGAAGGGTTGAACCCCCTTACACAGGGTCACCTAAGACCAGCAGAAAACTCAGATGTTTACATTATGATTTATAACGGTAGCAAAATTACAGTTGTGAAGTAGCAACAACGTAATTTTATGGTTAGGAGTTAGCACGATGTGAGGAGCTATATTAAATTTAGGGTTGCAGCATCAGGAAGGTTGAAGACCACTAATTGACTCAGCAGCCAAAGGGTTCAAAATCCGTGGTTCTGGTAAACTATCCCCATCCCTTTAAGTATTTTTTAATTTTGAGATTGGTTCAAAGTTGCCCAGGCACAGACAGGCCTTGAAATTTTAGCCTGTTGCTTAAGTCTCTAGGTAGTTGGGACTGCTAGCCTGGGCCATCAATCCAGTTTTTTATTTCTGTTGTTTCCCTCTCTTAACTAACAGCTGTCATTAACTGAAAGCCCTTGGTCAGCCGCCGCTGGCAGTTGTGTGTGCTTGTGATATGACTGGACGCCAGCTGTAACTTACTCACTGAAAAGCACGGGCGTGATTCCACTTTGTGCCACCAAACCGTGAACGCTAGTTTGTTCAGCGCAGCTGGACCTCTGATGCTTTTGCCTGGTATACTCGCTGCTAGGTGTCTGGCATCATTTGTTCATGCTAGATTATAGACGGATTGTGAAGGTTGATTTTAATTGCTCAGTAATTCAGAGCTTTTCTCGTAACAGGAATTTGCAATGCTGTGAGTTGATAACTCTCTCTTACCGTGTCCTAATCTTACAAACAGGGCACACAAGGGATGTGAACATTACATACTAGTAGCATTGAATCCCATCTTTTTTCCTTCGTCTTGAGTAGTGGTCATTGGATAGATTTCTATTGTTGTGTACTTTCACTTTGAAAGCCCAGTTTACCCTCTTGAGAATGATGTTATTGTAAAAACAAAAAAAAAGTTAAGAGTATTCTAGATAAATACGTGTTTTCTTGTAAGATTTGATGCAGTTTGACTTTGGAAGAACAAACATCCTTCCACTACTTTCTAGGTGCTTTCGAACATACAGAAGACAACTTATTTATGCACTTTAGGGCTTACGTTATAGTTTGATATGCTTCTTAACCTTTATGAACAGATGGCCTTATTTTGAGTCACTTGCCAAATGGTCCAACTGCTCATTTTAAAATGAGTAGTGTTCGTCTTCGTAAAGAAATTAAGGTGAGTCTTATGTACTCCTTTGTAATATTGATCTCAGGTTATCAGTAGATTGTTAATGATCTAATCAGTTTTAATTATTTAGCAGGTATTTTGTGAGACTGCAAACAATTTGGACAATAGCAGTAGTCCTTGTTACCACGAACGTTGATATTATAATAGGGTTTACTTTATGATGTGTTCAATGCATGTTAATGTTTAAATATATCTTTGTGTGCTCGATAAGCCATTTCTGTCATTTTAAAACTTTTTTTTAAGTCAGTATTACTGTCCTGCAGTAATCCCAGAACATGGGTGCCTGAGGCAGAAGGGATCAGAGTTTTAGGGAAGCCTGAGCTAAGACGTGCCAGACCAGTCTAAGCTAGAGTGACCCTGTGTCAAAACAAATTCTTCTTTTAAATGTTGTCTAAATTCTGAACCCCAAATATACTACATGATTTTTCTAATTATCTTTCTAGACATTCTATTTTTTAATTTTTTCCAGAGACGAGGCAAAGACCCCACAGAACATGTCCCTGAGATAATTCTGAATAACTTTACAACACGGCTAGGTCATTCCATTGGACGAATGTTTGCATCTCTTTTTCCTCATAATCCTCAGTTTATTGGAAGGCAGGTTGCCACATTCCACAATCAGCGGGACTACATTTTCTTCAGATTCCACAGGTAAGGGCAGACATTAACTTACACTTTTTTGTCAGCAAGATGTAACAAGTTCGTTAGGCTTTGCTATAGAAAATTAGTTTAAATGAACTCAACTGTTGTTCAACTTTTGTCTCTAAAGGTATATATTCAAGAGTGAAAAGAAAGTGGGAATTCAGGAACTTGGACCACGTTTTACCTTAAAATTACGATCTCTTCAGAAGGGAACCTTTGATTCTAAATATGGAGAATATGAATGGGTCCATAAGGTATGTGGCGATTATTCCACAACTATGCAGTTATGTTAAGGTGTGCAAGGTGTGTTAAGAGTTTCTTCCCCCATGAATTACAAAGAAGCAATCTGATGTGGTATCTTGACCAGCTGTTAACCTAGATTTGTTTGGCCCAAAGAATGGTGATCTTTTTTTTTTAAGATTTGTTTATTGTGTATAGTGTTGTCTGCATGTGTCCCTGCAGACCAGAAGAGGGCGCCAGATCTCATTACAGATGGTTGTGAGTCACCATGTGGTTGCTGGGAGTTGAACTCAGGACTCTGAGAACAACCACTACTCCTAACCACTGAGCTGTCTCTCTAGCCCCAAGAACGGTGGTTTTTAAAAGGGTCCAACATCAATGCAGGAGTGGGAAGTCTCAGCCCAGAACTGCCATGCCAGGTCAGCTTCCCAGGGAGTAGGTCCAGCAGTCTCAGCCTGGTGCAGCGAGTCTGCATCACTGTTTGAGAACTACCTCTGCTGGACTCACAACATTTGGAAAGCATCTTAAGTGAGAATGCTGCCTAGTTAGTGGCATTGTGACCTTCCCATCTTTACTTTAAAAACTCACATGCCGGCCTGAACAGAAATTTGCAGGGTCTCAGACATACCCAGTGTTTTGACGCCGTTACTCATAAAGATCTATGAAAGCCAGCTTTCATGTTACCTAAGTTGTTCTTTATCTTTCTCCCCTTTAATTTTCAGCCACGGGAAATGGATACAAGTAGAAGAAAATTCCATTTATAAAGTACTGAGGGAGTAGTATTGAATTTTGCTGGACAGGCCTGTCTGGAAAAACTTGGTAAATTATTTACACAGCACCCTTTTCAAATGGAATTTATTGATTTTATAAATCTTATATTTGAACAAATGACTAAGTGCCATGAATTTCTACTGTTGTAGTAAATATAAATTTTGGTGAGGGTGTAAAGTCCTAGAACTTGCTGTCATTTCACATTAGTTGTGAATAACTTAGCTGGAAATCAGACTTTCTAATTTGCATGGCCAGAAAAGGTATTGTTGTAGTTGGTGTGTACCCTGATTTAATACACTATTCTCAGAGGCTAGATTACCATAACTTGGTACAAAGTTAAAGGTTGCTGGAGTAAACTTTCAGATCCTGTTCCAGTTACCTTCTAATGCCCTACGTCATTCAGGTATTGTTTTTTGTTTTGTTTTGAGACAGTTTCTCTGTGTAGCTCTGGCTGTCCTGGAACTTGTTCCATAGACCAGGTTGGTCTCGAGTTCACAGAGATCCACCTACCTCTGCCTCCCAAGTGCTGGGATTAAAAGCGTGTTAACACTACTACTACCAGTCTCAAGTTCTTGATTCTTCTAATGGAATTCTTTGTTTCCAAACTGAAGCAGCTACCTTCCTGGTGTAGCTTAAGTACACTCCAAAGGGTCTTGTCTGGAATTTTTTGTTGTGTGAGGCTGGAGGACAAATGTCAAGTGCCTATGATCCCTTTCTGCCGCATTCAACAGGGTCTTAGTAAACCTGGAGCTCACTGTTTAACCCATGCTGGTGGCCAGCAAACCCTCTCCCCCAAGTGCAGGGTTACAGACATGTGTGGGTGGCAGGGATCTGAACTCCTATCCTAACCACATAGCAAGTACTCCTACCATTGAGCCACCTCTCCACCATATTTGGAATATTTCAAGTAATTCCTGTAACTAACTGAAAGATAGAAAATGCAAGTCTCCCAATCTTTGAGCAAAACTTTGCAGTTGTTCTGAAAGCTCCTAGAAGCCGCCTTGCCAATGTAAAGCACTGAATCTTCAGAGTTGGTGTTAGGAAAGATCAATATACAGCGCATTTCATAATAACAGGGCCAGAAATTTGCATGCTGTTTTATTGTATTCTACAGCCAGTGTATATAAAATAGTCAACCTTGTGAAACAGAAATCCATGGAAATTCAGAGAGGTAGATGTTAAGAACTGACAAGTAGAAGATTGTGTATTATGGCACGTGTTACAGAGCTTTTGTACAGACTTCAGGTTTAGTTCTCTTGAATAGTCACGGGTTCATGAAAAGTGGTTTGAGAAACCTGACGGGAGGGAAAAAAATAAAGTATCAATAACTTTGTTAAACATCTTTTATCACTGACACTAAGCAAGGACAATGATCTCACGTTTGAAAATGTACAGCAGAGCGGTGACATTCCCTACCTAGTCCATTCAGCTTACTATGGCCGGTATACATACACCGTAAGTCAGCCCCTCCATCTCTACGTGGCTCACTTGAATATCACTTTATAAAGGGTTTTCAATTAAATTGAGCCTAAGCCTACTATGTATCTGCTAACAATCTACAAAGGCACTGAAGTCCAACTTTCCCCTAGTTTTCACAATTGACAGAGTACCTATCCTGTTTTACAGACTCTTATAGATTATATCACTAAGATTACTACTGAAATCTACTTACTTTAGCATAATAAAACGGTAAATACAAAAATGTGCGATAAGGAAAATTCAAAGATCCTTTGAAAAAATGATTTATAAGATGGAATCACTTCTACTTATGTTCATTTAGAAAATATGCAAAGATTATTGAACATACTACTGATTTGTAAGATGCAATCGCTTCTAATCATCTACACAGAAAACTTGCAAGGTACTGAACATACTACTGTCAGCAGTATCAACAACCTTAATGCAGCCCATTAGAGCAATGATAGACAGTATGTATGTATCAGAATATTATTTAGCAGCTTAAATGACTGGACAGTCCATATAGGATAAACACAGATCTCAAAATTGAAACAATAGTTACACACTTAAAAACAGTATTATCTTGAAACTATAAATACAGTTGGGTTTATGAGTATAGGAGAAAGAAAAAACAGGCATAACAACTTCATACCAGGTTACTATAGAAAGTAGTAAAACCTGTTTTAAAAATTAATAAGGTACAAAAATTAAAGTCTGAGTACTTCATAACAAACACTGAAGAAGTATACAGCCTCAAGGACGGGGAATAGAAAAAAACATTTAACTTCACTTAATGGCAAATTTATCTCAGACACACACAAAAAGCACCCATGCCCAGAGTGGAAGACCAAAGATGGGCAGTAATAATCAAGTGTTATTAAATTTCTAAGTCATTGGTAGTTTTACCTAACTATACTGTCTATACTAGCAAGCAATGGTACCATTGGTAGCCACCAAAATGTCAGCCTTACCCATGGTCTCAAACTTGGAAACTAATAGTAAGTGAAGTAAATAATAATGTGTTACAGCTCAGCTGTTGATGTGAGATAGAGATCTTCTCAAGAGGAAACATAACAAGGGTCATTTCCTTTTCACATTCTTTGTTACTAAATTGCTAAAGTTGGCTTTGTTTTTAAAGGATTATAGACCCCAGTGATTTTCTTTTAATCCATGCCTTTAATGTACACTAGACTATCAACATAGCTTACAAAGAAATGCGCGTCTAGAGCCTCACCTTGGACCCACTGGGTTATAATATGCACTTTCAATATGTAAAAATCGCTCATGGTTTTACAAAGTAGTGCTTGTACATCTAAATGCCCTTTCCTTACTCAAATTGCTTCAAGGCATAATATCCAAAGTTTTCTTTTTCTTAAAGTTACAATTAACAGCCTTAATTTTACTCTCAGTCACTTATAAATGTAAGTCATTTAAATACTTAAGTGTGGACTCTTAAAAACAAAAAGGCTGTTATCAGAACCTCAGACTTAGCATCTTATATTAGGTGAAAATCAATTAATCTGCAAATATGCAGGAACTGAGTCTAGAAAAGAATCTTTAGTAAGTCTCAAAAAATATGAAACTCCTAGAGATCCCCAGTGAATACTGCCAAAAGCCAGAAAATATTACCTTAATGTTAACGTGAAGGATGAGCTGAACTGTTCCCAGTATTTCTTTGTGGAGAACCTGTTACCTAAAAGCAGCTTTATTCCCCTTCTAGTGTTTCAAAAAACTCAGTCATCTAACTAATTATACTTACTGGAACAGGACTTACACTTCCTGGATACTCCCAAATCTACAAAGTCTATGTAACAAGGTATTTTAGGAAGCAGCTTCCTGTACTTTTCAAGTCAGAAGGTTAGCATAAGGGTGTGTACTACACACAAGGTATTTTTTACAGCAGTTTACGTTTGCTTCCCAAATCAATATCAGCTAATGTACCAGAGTTAATTACAATTTAAATTAGCCACAGTTTTGGCCACATCTTTTGACCTTGGACAAGAACATAAACTCTTGACAGATTTACTAAGCAGCAAGTGATTTACTGTCTTAACCCTCCAGTCCAGCCCACTGCCAACACAAGTACACATCTCTTCTCTCCTGTTTTATCTTTGCCCAACAAATGGAAATAGAAGGTAGAAGTTATTTCTTATTCCAGATGCCTGTGCTAAGTTTGCTTATCCAGGTACCCCAACTACCTGGCTCTCCTACCCGGAAGTTATCCAAATCCAGAGTACATTCCTATAAGTACTGTAAGTTCAAATTTCAATTTGATGGATAAATAATTAGTACTTTAGAAGCTCCAAATATACATGCTTTTAAGGCCAGTGCTTTACAAACACATGCCTGCCTGTATTAGCGGTGCAGTTTGTGAATCTCCCATACCTTTTTAACAGTTATTACATCGAACTCTTTAGGATAAAAATAGAAACTAATCATTAGTATTCTAACTACTAATCAAGTTTTCACTGGCCTTCAAAAACAGGAAATTTGGAAAGCAAAATTATAGGGACAGATGCTACAACTAAAGACCTAGCTGGTTCTTCCTTTAAATGAAGAAAACTTACCTTTAGATACTTGACTACAAAAAGGAGCAGACTTTCTGGGGTCTGAAGGGATTTGTACTTGAAGACACTCCGGTCAGCAAAGGGTCATGTTGGGCATTCTGCAGACAGAACTGTTTCAAGTCTGCAGCTGCCTGGGAAACCTATAAATAACAGTGGAGAAATGTCTGTTGGTAAGGTTTTTAATGGTCTTTATGCATCTAAAAACACTTCCGCACCTCAAAATAATTGACGGCTAACAGTTCTATACTGGCTCAAACAGTCAATGAAACTGGTTTTTAATACTTTTTCCATTTACCACAAGCATCAAATGGTTCAATACAAAGTTCAATCCCACTGATCTGTGAGGCACAACCTGTCTTGTTTTTATGACAGGCTTGTTTTGTCTCTTGTATAGCCCAGGCTGGCCTCAAACTTTTTATGTGGCAAACAGCCTTGAATGTCTGAGCCTCTTGCCTCTGCCACCTGAGTACTGGGATTAAAGGCCTGCCCCATCAAGCCAGGTTTATTCAGTGTTGGGAATCCAACTCAGGGCTTTCTGTATCCATAGGTAAACACTCTTAACAACTGAGTCACATCCCCAGCCCAATAGCTTGCTTTTTTTTAAACAGTAGTATTTCAACAAAAAGATTAACATTATAGGGAAATTGTCTTGAAAGCAAACTAGAAATGCCCATGAATAAACCCAAGGTAACTAGCATAGAACTTATGAAACCAAACACTTTATACACTTCAATTTTTTTTGTTTTTTGAGACAGGGTTTCTCTGTATTGTTTTGGAGGCTGTCCTGGAACTCTCTCTGTAGACCAGGCTGGACTCGAACTCACAGAGATACACCTGCCTCTGCCTCACGCGTGCTGGGATTAAAGCCATACGCCACCAAACCCAGCTATACACTTCAAATTTATACCCATCCTTAACACTATCTTTCATTTAAGAGAGACATACATTCATTCATTTAAGCACCTACCATTATGTATTCTGGCTAGGAAATATAGATCATAAAAGACAATACTGAAATCCTCTTTGGGTTGCACCATATCCGTGTAGTAACACTGCCAAATCACAGCTGAAGCAAATACAGTGTTTCTTAAA